GTTTCTAACTTTTTTCTCTGTTGTGTTTTAGGAGCATATTTTCTATATGTATTGCACTTCGATGAATATCTGGAACTTGGTCTTTCATTCCAAAGTGCGCTGTTGGAAGGAATGTTTTCACCTCCTATGGATAGAAAAACTTTGGTCCCGCTTCCAAAAGTCAGAATCTCACCTCAGGGCAAGCGTATTGCTACATTGGATTTGAATGGTTCTGTCGACATCTTTGTGCTCAATGGTAATATGCGCTCTGTTTCGCTTCATCCTCACGGGAGTGGCGCTGGAACACACTTGATTGGTGTGAAGGACATCAGTTGGTGGACAGATAATATTCTCATGATAGTAAAGGAAGATGGTAGGATTAGCATGTACAGCATTGCTGAGGACATGGTAGTTTCAAAAGGTGACCTTGTTTTATCTACACCACTGTTGGAAAAGGCAAAGGCTATCGAAGGATATGCATTTGTTTTGCAATCTAGCAGACAAATGGATAGTGTTCCTGGGGATCATCAACACACTGAGATGGATAAAATATTTTGGAGTCTAGTATCATTCTCCAAAGTTACAGTACTGGAGATGTACTCCGTTCTCATCAGGAAGAATCAACAAAAGGAGGCTTTGGATTTTGCCTCCCAGTATAATCTAGATAAGGATGATGTGCTTAAAGCATGCTGGTTGCATTCTGCTGGAGATATTCATGATATACAGTCATACTTGGTGAAAATCAAAGACCAAGCATTTGTATTGTCAGAATGTGTGAATAAAGTTGGACCTACAGAAGCAGCTTTGAAAGCCCTATTTTCTTTTGGCTTTCGCATGACAGGCCGTTACAAGTTTTCGGAGCCGGATAATAGCGGTGATGGCTCAGCATGGGACAGTCGTATCATCAGGCTTCGTTTATTGTGGTACAACGACTTGCTGGAGACATTCTTGGGAATTAATATGGGAAGGTATGTTGTTGCCATTCTTACTGTTTCCTCTTTGCATAATAAATGCAGTCAGTTCACATTGGAAGTGTTTGCAACTATGCTCCAGCTGTTGAGCCATATTGATCCTGCAAAAGTGTACAAATATAATCGATTTTAACTTTTTCCATCATACATGCATTGGCCGTTTTGAGTCTCAATGCAATATTTTAAAATGGACTATAGCTACTTTTGAATACTGCTTTATTCCTCAAGCAAATCAATTACGTCTGCCACTTTTTGCAATTCCCAAATGAGCACAAAGTAATGCCAAGCTGGATCTTGGTTTGTTTAACAATGAAGTAAAATGGAAAATAAGGGGTAGTTAACACTTCAAGTGAATGCTTTGTGAATTTTCCAGTCTAGCTGGTGACTCAAACATATGTACTCTTACAGGTTGATGATTTTTTTCCACTTCAGAATGTCAATTTCCAACTTCAATGCACATTAGCGTTAGCTCTCATGGAAAGACACTTCACAAGTCGATTGCACAGGGGAGTTACGGACTTCTTGTAGCTAAATGTGTTGTTCTTTCTATTTTTAGGTTCTCAGCTGGCGAATATAGCAAGTTCCGTTTGACGCCCCTTGTTGATACTGCTATTGCTCTAGCTGAAAGTGGCAAAATCGGAGCTCTTAATCTTCTCATGAAGCGCCATCCGTATACTATCTCTTCTGACATTTTACGTGTTCTGTCTGCAATTCCAGAAACTATTGCTGTGCAGACTTATAGTCAGTTGCTTCCTGGGAAATATCCTCCTAGTGTTGTGATATTAAGAGATGGTGATTGGGTTGAATGCAAACAAATGGCAGCATATATAAACACTTCTCCTGGTCAATTGGACAAGAGGGGAGTGGTCAAAACAGAAATACTTTTGAAGCACTCAACTGGTTTCTTATGGCCATCTGCCGCTGAACTTTCGGAGTGGTACAGGAGCAGAGCTAGGGACATTGACTGCCTAAGTGGACAGCTGGAAAATTGTCTTGCCATGATAGAGCTTGCATGTCAAAAGGGGATAGTGGAGCTGCAGCCATTCTTTGATGATATGAAATACCTCTACCAAGTTGTATATTCTGATGAGTCGAATGAGTTCATAATGAACCTTGCAACCTGGGAAGATTTACCTGACTATCAAAAGTTTAAAATCATTCTGAAAGGAGCCAAAGATGATACTGTTCTTCAGCGACTAGACGATATGGCTATCCCTTTTATGAATAAGAGATTGCACTTGATCTCGTCAAGTAATGCTGACAAACAAGAAGAATCCTACCTGACTAGATGGATGAAAGAGGTTGCTACTGCAAATGAGCTGTCCATTTGCTTGTCTGTTATTGAAAACGGCTGTGGGGAGTCACCAATTTGTGGGCTCTTCAAGGATCTTAATGAGATGGTAGAAACTGCTATTTGCTGCATTTATGTATGCTCTGCAACTAACCAGTGGAATACCATGTCATCAATTTTGTCGAAGTTACTCCATAAGACAAAGAGAGAGAAATCTTTATTGGCTAGTGAAGAAGATTTCAGTTTGAAAGATGCTAAGCAAGCTCTTGGCACTTGTGTGGTTTCCTGTGATGATATGCAGCATGTGTGTGCTGATATCTTGTCTCGTCTGAGTGATAATTCAGGGGATTCTTATTGCAATGATTCAACGGCCTACCAATTTGATAACATAAAATCCCTTGATATGCGAGAGAAGATGCTAAAAGTTGCTGAAGGTCACGTAGAAGTAGGGAGGCTCTTTGCTTATTACCAGGTACTGTATCTCTTCAAAGAAAGTTTGCTGCTTAAATCAACTATGACATTGCACTACATCTCCTTGGGTTCCTTCATATATTTATTTTCACATAGGCATGCGCTTTGACCTCTCAGTAAAGTACGAAGCTTAAGTAGAAGTATATTCCTTTTTGTATTGGGGTTTACTTGTTATTAATAGTTTTGAGTGGTAGGATGCCTGAATGTGATTAACTGGCTACATCATTATTTGTTTTAAAACATGTCCTACTTTGGCAGGTACCAAAGCCAACACATTTCTTCCTTGCTGCACACTTAGACGAGAAGAATGTAAAACAACTTATACGGCTGATCCTGTCAAAATTTGGTAGACGTCAACCTGTTCGGTCGGACAATGAGTGGGCTAACATGTGGCGTGATTTGAAGCTCTTCCAAGAGAAGGCATTTCCTTTTCTTGATTCAGAATATATGCTTGCTGAATTCATTAGAGGGCTTCTAAAAGCCGGTAAATTCTCACTAGCCAGGAACTATCTTGGAGGTACTAGTGCAGTTTCTTTGTCCACAGAAAAAGCTGAAAATCTTGTTATCCAAGCTGCAAGGGAGTATTTCTTCTCAGCTTCAACTTTGTCCTGCAACGAAGTAAGTTCATGTCACCAAATTGTATTTCATGCAAATGCAAACCAGTATGTCGTCACTGATTAAGACTAACTGGGATTGCACAATCATTTGCAGATTTGGAAGGCTAGGGAATGCCTAAATCTGTTACCAAATAGCAAAAATGTTCAAGTGGAAACTGATATAATTGATGCTCTAACTGTCAGACTTCCTTATCTAGGGGTGACTATCCTCCCTGTTCAGTTCAGACAGGTAAAGGATCCTATGGAGATCATCCGTATGGTGATTACGAGTCAAACAGGGGCATATCTTCATTTTGAAGAGATTATTGATGTTGCTAAACTACTAGGATTAAGAAGTGAAGAAGAAATAGCTGCTGTTGAGGAGGCTATTGCTAGAGAAGCAGTAGTAAATGGTGACCTCCAGCTAGCCTTTGATCTCTGTCTAAATTTGACTAAAAAGGGTCATGGTGAAGTCTGGGATTTATGTGCTGCAATTGCAAGAGGTCCTCAGCTTGACAATTTGGATACAAGTACCCGCGAAAAGCTATTGGGCTTCTCCCTCAGCCATTGTGATGAAGAATCTGTAGGGGAACTATTGAATGCTTGGAAGGAACTTGATGTCCATGATAAATTTGAACAATTAATGGTATCAACAGGAACAAACCCTCCCAATTTCTTTGTTGATGGCTCTACATATACACCTCTTCCTGTGCAAAGTGTGCAAGACATACTTGACCTGAGAGAAGGCGTTAGCCATGATAGAGAGCATGATCATGTGGCAATTGCTAAAGAAATGCTATCAAAGGTTTGCATGGACTTCACAAATGATGATGCATATAGTCGGGAATCTACTTTTGCAGAAAATAGGAAACTATTGTCCTTCTCTGCACTAGAATTGCCATGGCTTTTGAAGTTGTCTAATGATGAGGTGCATGATGGTAACAAACATTCTTCGGAGACAAATCATCCCATCAGGAGATATCGATTTTCAACAAAAACGGAGGCAATAAATAGCATCATATATTGGTTAGGTGTAAATAGCTTTGCTCCCAGTGATGATCTAATCATGGTTCTTGCAAAGTCTGTAATGGAGCCTCCCGTTGATGAAGAGGACTATGTTCTTTCCTGTTCAATTCTTCTGAATCTCATGGACCCTTTCAACGGAGTGAAAATAATAGAGGAAGAGCTCAAAAAACGAGAATGTTATCAAGAGATTAGTAGCATAATGAATGTAGGAATGACATATAGCTACCTCAACAGTTTGAAGAAAGAATGTTCTACTCCTGAACAGAGGAGAAATCTCTTGCTTCAAAAATTCCATGAGAAGTTTACGTCGATAGATTCAGGTAGGTGCACTAAAGACAACAGTATATCAAGACAATAGCTGAATCACTGCCTCAGTTTATTTTCTGAATACTTATCTAGTCCAATGTTCTGTCTTCTTTTTTTCATGAGATGCCATTCATTTATATGATTTTCACTTTTCTTTACTTTTACTTTGATCAGATGATTTAGACCAGATTGATATGGCACATGCCACTTACTGGGGAGAGTGGAAATCAAAATTAGAAGAGGAGAAACGAATGGCTGATCAAGCAAGAATGCTGAAAAATGTACTGCCTGATATTGACACGTCTCGATTCTTATCTGGCGATGCTAACTATATCAAAAATGTTGTTTTCTCCTTTGTTGACTCCGTAAAGCTGGAGAGAAAACATATACTAAAGGAAGCAGTAAAAATAGCTGAGAACTATGGCTTGCAGCGAACAGAGGTATCTCTCTCTCTCTCTCTCTCTCTCTCTCTCTCTCTCTCTCTCTCTCTCCCAGCAGGGCTGCAATCTATGCAGAAACATCGTATGTTTTAGTTTCCTTGTGATGTAAGCTTCTCATATCTGATATCTATATTATCTCTTGATTAATTTAGGTGCTTTTACGATTTCTGGGCTGTGCTCTTGTCTCTGAATATTGGGATAACGATGATATTCTGAATGAAATTGCTGAATTCCGGGAGGATATTGTCAAATCAGCAAAGGGGGTGATTGATATGATATATTCAGATGTCTACCCAGAGATCGATGGGTATAATAAGCAACGCCTCTCCTACATCTTTGGCATCCTTTCAGCATGTCATTCTTATCTTAAGAGGACAAGTAAGATAGAATTGACATACCAAGAACATGTTCATACACATAAGCTTGAGCCATTTCAGTATTACAAGGTCCTCGAGGAAGAGTGCAAGAAAGTCTGTTTCATTGATGGCTTAAACTACAAAAACATTGCTGGCCTGGATAATCTTAACTTTGACCACTTCAATGAAGAAGTATGCAAGAATATCCATGCCTCAACCGTCAGTGCTCTAGCTGATATGGTCCAAGCTCTTGTGAGTATGTATGTTGATTTACAGGCTAAGGGTCTTGTATCACGCCAAGGTGTTTACAAGCATTATGTTCTTGGCATGTTGGCATCTTTAGAAGGCCGCAATGAAGCACGATCAAACAGCACAGATTGTGAAAAGTTACTAGCAGTTCTTTGTGAAATTGAGTTGAACTATGATAGTTGCAAGGAGTATATCCAAACTCTTCCTGCCACAGATATTTCATACGTCATTGGAAGGTATTACACACTATGTTTCCCTTGCAACTTAGCAAGAAGCCAGCCACAGGACCCTTCATGGAAGGAACCTCTCTGTATGCTGATAACGCTTTGGATTAAACTTGTTGACGACATACCAAGGCAGCCAACTGATGCTGGCTCATATGAAAGGACAGGCTACTTGGATTCGAACCGGTTAACTCACTGCATGAGTGCTTTCAGACAGCTGTTAATAAAGAATGAGATAACAGTGCACCAAGGTTGGGATGCCATCTCTATGTTTGTACAAGTTGGCTTTAACAGTGAAATGATAATGGACACATCACACTTTTGCCGAGCTATGATTCTTTCTGGATGTGGTTTCAAAACTGTAGTTGAAGTGTACCATGGAGGACAGGAAAATTTGGAAAGTGTAAATGCAGACTCGAGGAATCCTTTGGATCTCTTAGAGCTTTATGGTGCTTGTACAGATGGCTGTTTGTCCGATCTGATCGAAGGCTCTTGTGAGTCTCAGGCATTGCTTCATAAGCTACTTTCTTCATTGAGCCAGTCAGTAGGGGAGCATGCTGACTCTCTTGAAATGATCCGATCTGGTGTCTGGGGAAAGTTGATAGCCTTTTCTGAGAACATGCAGCTAGGTAGCCAACTACGTGTCTATGCCCTGCAGCTGATGCAGTGTATTACGGGAAGAAACCTGAAAAGCCTTCCAAATGAGATTGTTTCCCAGGTTGAGCCATGGGAATCATGGTATGAGCCTGGAACAAGTGATTCCTTAGCTGATGAGGGCAGTACTCCCTCTTGCAGCATCACAGCGAGTCTAGTGGCACTCAGATCTAATCAGATGGTGACTGCAGTTGTGCCAGATGCTAGTATCACGCCCGAAAACTTGTCGAGTCTTGACTCTGCAGTATCTTGCTTCTTACATTTGTCGGGACGTGCTTCTTCTGTTGAGAGTGTTGCTGTTCTGGAAGCGGTGCTAGAAGAGTGGGAGCAACTCTTCTCTTCATCTTCACCAAAAGAAGAATATGTTGAGCCTCAGGATTCGCCAAAAGAAGCAAGCGAGTGGAGTGATGGATGGGATGATGGCTGGGAGGCCCTACCGGAAGAGTTGGAGCAAAAGCAAGATGGTGCGTCGTCGTTATCTGTCCATCCTCTCCACAGTTGTTGGATGGAAATCATGAGAAAACTTGCTGGGCTTGGTGAGCTCCAGAAGATCATTGAGCTTCTAGATCGAGCATCCTCAAAGCATAGCAGCAGGTTGCTAGAGGACGAAGAAGCACACGGCTTGCTTGAACTCCTTTCCGCAGCACCGAACTGCTTCATGGCTCTCAAAATCATGCTGCTGCTCCCATACGAAGCTCCACAGCTGCAGTGCCTGCAGAGGGTCGAGGCGAAAATCAGGGAAGGCACCGCGTCCACCACCTCATCCAAGGCCGACGACCACGAGCTGCTGGCGTTGGTCCTCTCATCCGGAGCCCTGCAGAAGATGGCTGGAGAAGAGGGGTACTCGAGACTCTTCTTCTCTCACACATGCCACCTCGTCGGACATCTCGCGAGGTCGTTCCAGGGCGATCTCTGGGAAGCCGAATCTAAGATGATGAATCAGAACAAGTCTTTGCTGTTTGGTAAGGTGCTGCTCCCGTGCTTCATATCTGAGCTGGTGCTCAAAGGGCAGTATCTGTTGGCCGGGTTCATGGTCTCGAGATGGATGCACACACCGGCATCCCTTGGTCTGATAGATGTCGTCGAGCCCGGTTTGCGGCGCTACCTGGAAGGTCAGGTCGCTCAGGCTCAGCAGCAGGTGGGAGAGAGCGACGCTTGTTTCGCTGAAGACGAGCTGTCTATTAGCCGCACAATGTCCAGTCTAAGGTTGAAACTGGTTTCTCTTTTGCAAGCGGCGTTGGTAGCCCTTCCGAGCCAAGAGCCTTAGATATATCAAGTCTGTTCTGTCTGGTGTATACATTTGTTTTATAACTAAACGCTGCTGGACCGGTGTAACTCGACTCGATGTAAAAAACTGTAGCAAGGTGGTGAATATTACAAATGCTTAAAACTAGCGGTGGCAGGATGATGCTTTAAGACAAGTCAAGAGATACTGCTGCAATGTTGTGTTACTCGATTGGAATTTACATTACAGTTGCATTCTTTTTTATAACATATCAGTTGCAGACTTGCAGTGTATGATGATTTCATACATTTTTCCACATATCTCCGGGAGAGCACCACTCAGGAGTGGGAGCCGAGGAAGAGGCAGCCATGCGGCAACGGTGCTAGGGAAACGGTGTGGTGTTTTAACTCTTTTGCCAAAGTCGAGCCAGATCTGCCTTTTCCTACCGCCGGGGTCGATGGCGGTAGAGTATACCAGCCTACCGCCGGGGTCGATGGCGGTAGAGTATACCAGCCTACCGCCAAGGCCACTGGCGGTAGGCAACTTATCCACGTCAACGAGGTGCAGCCCTACCGCCAAATTGCAGGCGGTAGCCTGTGCAACCCTATCATTGAGGTGCCCAACGATAGGTGGGTACAAGCATTGTATTTGATACTTCGAATCTTTTTAAGTTGCAACCCTACCACCAAGGAAGAGCCTCGGCGGTAGGTCAAATCTCAAAAAAAAAATTGAACCAGGATCAGATCTGGCTTAACTTTCGCAAAAGGGTCAAAACACCAAAATTATCCTACCTCGGTTGGTAGCTATGGTCGTGGTGCCAGGAGCAACCGCGGGCAAAAGCTTTGCCAACCCAAGCGGTAGGGTTGTTGAGTATAATGTTTATTAGGAAAGACGAGATAGACTAGGATTTGTTCTGGCTTGTCTTGTACTCCCAAGTAGATGATTGTATATATATATATATATATATGCTCAAGCAATACAACGAATTATTCCACCAAACCCCTCTCTCCTTTTTAACATGGTATCAGTTTCCGGGTTCTAAACCCTAGCCGCCGCCGCTTTCGCACCCGCGTGCCGCCCCTGGGGCGATCGGCCTCCATGACCGCCATCGGGGGCCGCGTCGCCCGTATCTAGGGTTCGTCCGCCGACCGTGTTGGCCGGCTGCCCTAGATAGTCTTTTTCCCGAGCCCTTGCTCCGGATTTTTTTCGCTCTCTCGCTAGTTGTTTTGATCGGCGTTTTCTTTCTGATTTTCCGATCTATTCTTGATCGGTTTGCGTTGCCCGCCGCCGTCGTCGACCCCCATGCGCCTCTACTCCGACCCCGGCGCGACCAGCCGACCTCTCCTCCGACCCGGCGGCCACGCGCGCCGACGCGGCCCGTCAGGGCCAGCCGCCGTCCCCGCGTCGGTCCGCCCGTCGCCCTGCGCCGGCCGTCACCGCCCTGTTTCGACCGGGACACCTGCATCGCCCCGACCCGGCGGCCTCACGTCATGTGATGGCCAATCATAGCCGTCGCTCGCGCGCCGGCCCGCCCATCGATCCACATCACCCGCCTCTGCCGCGTCTGCACGGCGGCCCGGCGGTCTACCTCGCCGGCCTCGTTCTCGGTTGCGTCAGGACGACTACGTCAGGCTTGTTTGCTGCCACAACTCGGGCGCCGCTGCTCCATTGGTCGCTCGGGACTCGCTGCCCGGGCGCCGACGCTGCTTTGGCAGCCCGGGCGCCGACGCTGCTTTGGCAGCCCGGGTGCCGGTGCTGACAAGCTCGTCCGCACGATGTCCCACGCCGTCCGTCGTTGTCGGCCTCATCACGGACTCCGCCACCAACCCGCCTCCACCGAGCGGCGTCCCCGACCTCGCGCGCGCTCGGCTTGATCACCCGCTCGCCACCGAGATCCGCCTTATCTACACCGCGCGACCGACCTGGCCTGTCGGTTACGCGCGCCTCCGCAGGTCCCGTAAAGATCGTCCCGAGTCCTGCGCGCCTCTCCGCCGATCGAGCATCGGGCTGCCGCTACGTCGCGCCTGTCGGGCCGCAGCGCTGCCACCCCGTGGTTCTCCTCGCGGCTGCATCGACTCGTGCATCGCCGCTGCGTCGCCCCTTTGGGCCATAGTGCCGTGATACGCGGTCCCCGCCGCTGCCCCGAGGCCGTCCCCGCGGTTGCACCGACTCACGAACCGCCGTTGCATCGCCCCTTCGGGCCGCAATGTCGCGGCCCGCGGTCCCCGCCGCCGCCCCGAGGTCTTCTCGCCATTGCCCCGACCCACCTGCCGCCGCCGCGTCGCCCCTTCGGGCCGTAGCGCCGCGGCCCACGGTCCACTCCGCCGTCAACGCGCGTCGACCTTCCGTGGTATGCATCGCGCCATCTCCCTTGGCGCGGGAACGCCATCGTCCGCGTCGGTCTTCATCACGCTGTCAGGGTTCTTCGCCTACTTCGAGCACCGCCGCCGCACTCCTAACCTAGCCGTCGCCGCCGTCAGGCTGCCGCCGCCGCTCTTCTTTGGCCCCCGCCGTCGCTACCTCTGTAGCCGCTGCCGCCGCCCGTCCACCCCCTTCGTCTTCGTCCAGCACCAGCTCGTCGCCAGCGTCGCCGACATCTACTCCAACAACCGCGGGCGACATTGGCCCCGCGCCGTTTGGCGCCACAACTGTCGTTGAGTCCTTCTCTGCTAGCCTCTCCGACCTCTTCACATGGCGTACAGCTCGTGCAGGTCCCAGTCTATGCATGCCCGGTGCTGGCAACACCGCCGCGTGCCTTCATCCACGACGTGTCCCCGGGCCTAGCAACCCTGGTGTGGAGCTTTGTCAACTTCTTCTTCGTCCGTCTATGCATGCCCGGTGCGTGCAACACCAGTGCGTGCCTTCGTCCACGAGGTGTCCTCGGGCTCGGCAAACCCGCAGCGACGCGTCGTCAACAACATTTTCTTCTTGGCGCACCCCTACTTCGACACCACTGCACCCATGCTAACTCGGTGCCCTCTTGCGCCCGCGGCTCCACGACGACTTCCTCGACACCGGCCACCCCAACTCGACATTGACCACAACATTCTTCGCATGGCTACCTCGACCACGGCTCCACCACCCACGCTCTCGGCTACATCGACAAACGGCACAAAGGGTTACCGCCTGCTTGAGCAACCTCGTTGGTTTCCACTCCAGCCACGACGCCGCGATGCGTCGACCGTTATGACTATGGGGGGTGTTTGTCGGCTTGCCTTCGGATTCT